TCTTCCATGGATCATTTCAACATACTATTGGACCTTTACAATTTTAATGCCAAACAATTTTTTTCATCTTTTTATTTACCTTTTCTAAGCTTTACCATACATTATATGTATATCTTCATTCATAGAGACTTACATCTGAAGATAGCTTTAGCTTCCATTTGATTTCAAAATAAGCCTATAAAAAGCTTTTCATAATCCTTATCTTTGCAATATCTACTTAAATTAATGATTTTAAAGTTCTCTAACAAATTTTTGAGAATCGGAGCATCAAGAGTGCGGTCCTACACAATGAAGTGCACCATAAGGGGGTGAGTCTAGTTGCACCTTAGTGAGATTTCATCCCAAAACTAATTAGTGGTAGAAGGAGTATCCCGCTATGCTTATAAAGTAGACTCGTTTACCCTATCAAATCAACATGGGACGACTCACAAGTGAACATTCTCGTTTTCTTAATTTGGTTGTTTCAAATGTTAAAAGTTAGAACATAATCATTCCCTAATTACTGCTCCATTGCACGTGAGAATCAAGCTGGATAAAGTCTCGGAGTCCCCCAACAGAAGGAAATTGAAACCAGTCCAAACAAGCTACAGAAAAATGGTTATCATGTATTTTTTTTTTCTTAACCAAACCAAAGGTCCCTTTTTAGTCATGTAGATATGTTGTCAGAATCAAGTGTTTGTCCCAATTTGGCCAAAACCCAATTCAATATCAACTTATTTTTCATGTAGTATATAAAGATCCAAGCTTTAGTTTTTGATGCTCTCATGAATTCAAATCATTCTGGAAAAGCAAATATTTGAACAAAAATGACACTAAAAACAGTTGGGATAGGAGTGTTCTTCCTCCATGACATTTAGATTAAATTAAAAGATTTGAATTTGAATTGTTAAGAATTCATTCGCTAATTCTTGTACGAGACAGTCTAACCATTAGACGAGTCGACCAATCATACTTTTTAAACAAAAGTGCATACTTCCATTATCAAATGTCATACTTTTTATATCAGAATTACATAGATTTGAAATTGGCCAGCACGTCAGCTGGTGTAAAAACCAGTTAATATTAATCTAAAAAAATTTGAAAAATTTTGACATAACAAACTCATTGATTTGAAGTTATTGCTTTCCTTCCAATTGTATAGAAAAAAAATTGGCCAATTTTTTGGTTTAAAGGAGCTGCAAGAAATCCAACTGTCCACATTCTTTTTTTTTTTTTTTGGTACAGGGACCTTCCGGTTTCCGGATCCACAAGGGAACCGACTAATCCGGAATCGAGCTGGGTAGGACCACAAGGGCGGCAAAGCTCTTCCTCAAGAGTTTTAACGCTGCTGCATTCTCAGGGCTCGAACACGAGACCACTGATTAAGCTGGAAGAGACCCAAGTCATCTCATCCAAGCGCTCTTGGGTCAACTGTCCACATTCTAATTCAAAAGTAGCCATTGACAATGACTTATTATGAGAAAGAAAAGGTGGGACAATTAAGTTCTTGCATGCATTCAGGGGATGGCTTATTAATATTTGCTGCAAATCAAAGACT